ACAAACTCATAACTGTGTAGCCAGTGGTCTAACAGGAACTACTAGTTTTCTATCTTTGTGATCAGTGATCTTATACTTACTAGGAGCCACCAATTTAAAAATATATTTAGAATTTAAAAATTCAAAAAATATATTCACCCACCCTAACAGGTTGTCTCATCTTTGCTTTCAAACAAAGTCACATAGCAATCATACATGCTATAATTGACACAAGGATAACATACTAATTGCATCTGATAAATTCAGAGATATTATCATGCAATCTTATGATTTCTTTTAATCACACTTGATCTCTCTTAATCTTCCTTTAAGAACCTCGCAAGGTTTAAGATTGTTAGGTAGAACAACATTTCCTGTTGTCATCTCTTAAAGCCATTTCTGAAAAACTACAACAAAATTTCACTATTCTATTTTTCCAGAAACTAAACTTAATACTAGAAAATTCCAAAGTCTGAAATTTAATTCAAAATTGATCTCACCACTTACCCTAGAATCGAACATTGTCAGGAAAGTTTTCAGGAAGATTGGAAGGGTCACATCGGTTCCACTTAAGACCCAGTTAACCTTAGACAAAACTTTCAAGAGCATGTTGACTCCTAATCCATGAGAAACAAATTTAAAATTAAGTTTTCCAAGGGATAAACTAGGTTAAAACAAACCAAGTTTACAAAACTTATAAGCAATTAAAAATTGTTATCAGAATTACACCACTCATAAAAGTTAATCGGTACTCTCGGAACTGAGCCCATTATTTCTGAATAAAAATAAGAAATATTTTAGCTAATGCTAAAATTTGGATTCTTTCCCCACAACACTTTGGAAATAATCAGATTATAACCAAAAACTTTCTCAAAACTTGGTTTACTACCACTTTGGGAATAAAAAGATTTAAACCCAAAGATTTCCTCTAACCACAAAGGTTTGAAACCAAATCCATCTTAGTTTTTTGGAATAATAAAATTAATCCCAAAGACTTTCTCTAAACCCCGAAGATTTATAATTTCTTTCCTTCCCCCTTTCCTTTTACTATGGTGAAATTATTACAAATTAGAAATTAAACTACTACAAAAGGAAATGCAACTGTTACAAATACAAATTATCTAAATCTGCAAAATCAAAGTTCATGACTGCGTCCGAAATGGTCTGTTTAGCCAAGAACACACTTATCCACTTGAAACCATCATTTCGAATTGCTAGCTTATCTTTGTATAAAATACAATACAAAAAATAAACTCAGTGCTTTATTCTATGTAAAGGGGATGTGTACAAAACTTTATCCACGTTGCCACTAAACCTCCATGTTCATTGCTTATATATACACTTGGATACAAAATGAGTTAATAAACCAATAACTCATATAATGCATATTACATAAGTAATTTAAACTATCACTCACATTATGTAGTTCAAGTAGCTATAGATGTATTGCAGTTATAAGAATGTTATGAGTTTCATAGCCATGAAATAATTACGTATATTAGACTATTATGGTCATAACACTGGCATTACAACCATCTAACTATGAGCAAATCTTATTAACAATAGAGCTAAATTCCAACAATACACAATAATATTTGGAATAATTCACTTGATTATACACATTAAGACATGGAAAAACTCACAACCAATATAACAATTAATTAATTGAATGAATACAAAGTAAAGACATTATAATGAAAAATATTCCACCATGCACTAATATTCTCTTAAAACCCATCCACCTTATAATGAAACATAAATATTATATTAGAAAAACCGAAACTGTTTTGCTATATTTTCTCCCAAAACAAACCTGTTTGGAGATTTTTATACCGTTGGAAACCTCTCCACTAGCAATTTTTTTTTTTGGGGTCAAATTTATACACAAAAAAAAAAAAAAAAAAAAAATCCAACTCTTTGTTTTTCCATAATTTAATTAATCAAATTAAATCGAAATTGTTGCCAAACTTTCAAAACAGTATACGGAATAAATTAACCTAAACTACAAAGTGAATAATTAAATTCACAAATATGTCAAAAAATCTGAAGATCCAAAATTCTCATCAATGCTTAGGTTATCCTGTTCAAAACAAAAATTAGTAGTCTCATTTACTAATTCCAATTTGTTTTATTTGTTCGTATTGTATACCATTCTTTCGCGTTTAGGTAAACCTGTAGAGAAAGTTAGTTGTAAAAGAAAACCAATAACAAACAAATCAAATAAATTAGTAAGAATCTTAAGAAATAAAATTCTTATTTTATCTTATCAATACTTAGTAAATCATGCACTAACAATCAAATCACTCATGCAATAACAGCTAATTAACATAAAATAAATTGCATGAATAAATTACATGAAACAAACTACTCAAATTCCAATAACTCTAGGCAATTAAATTAATTTTAATTCCAAGAGTCACTAGAATAAAATTATAACAAAAACTAAATTGTTTTATGAAAACTATTTATAACGAATCTGTTTTAAGATTGTTGGTATTTTTCCATAATAATACATGAAAAATATATAAAATAAATTAAATAGAAATGACAAAACGGTTTTTTATTAAAATGATGAAATACAGAATAAGCGACACCACTAAAATACAGAAATGAATTAGATTACATTACTAATAGAACAAATTATTAACATGGATAACTAAAGACTAAAACACATCTTTGTAAAATAAATATTGAAAAATTTAAGAACAAATGATAAGAAAAGAAGAAAACTGAAGCCTGCACTAGACAGTTTCCTTAAAACAGATTCACCGCCTTCTGATGAATGCTGGACGTACACTAACCTCTGTCTCTCAAGATACGATGGTCGAAACCAGCTAATACAGAAACACCTTCTGAATAGCTTCAGCGAACTTGACAATGGATGCACTCTCTCTAACAAGAACCAAATAAGAGGCTAACAAAAGAAGATATAAAAAAATTTTCTTTGGTGTAAAAAACCATGTCCAACTTTCTATCTTAAAACACTATCTCATTTTTCATCACAAAACATCTCTAGAAACAACCTACTAAGTTGGAGGAGAAAGACCTCTATTTATACTAGTAGGGAAGAGCCTTAGCCATGAAAGCTAACATTAATGGGGTCATCAAATGTCATCAAGCTATTAGGGCTAGAGTTACAAAGGTTCAAAACTCCAAAACCATTATATAAATCATAATATATATATATATAATGTATAAATTTTGAGAATTAAACTAGATGGGTTGCAAAATGGATATGGGTGTTGGGTCACAACCCAATCCAAGCCCAATCTCAAACACATGCACAGCTCAACCCAAAGCTCAAGACTAGATCCAAGTCCAAGCCTAGGACCAAACCTAGCATGTGCACAAGTACAAGTCTAGGCCTAGTCTAAACTAAGACTAAGTCCAAATCTAAACCCAATTTTATTGATACCCACTTTATGAGACAATTCTCATTCACAACTCAATGGTTTCGATTCATTACTTTTGTATTGCAATCTTCTCACTTAAGAGAATGCAAAACCACTCAGACTCACCTCAACCGGCGATTGAGTTCTACTTTAATTTCGAATTAAAGTTGTCAAAAAACCATTATTTTCCAACACCATCTTCCACAAATGATTATTGAAACCATGAATCAGAGTGAGATTGAAATCTGGAAAGTCTATTGGTCGACAAACCATGATCAAGCTCAAGAATGAAAGCCTCTCATCAACAATGTCTGCAACGTCAACATCACTTATGTTTTGCAGCAACTCCTTTTTGATGTAGGGAAGTTTCCTTTTCATCTTGAAAAGAACCATTGCTTCTTGACATAATGATGAGAGCTTAATAAGAGACTTTTCTTGTTTTCGATAATGCAATCTCTCTCATCCTCTTCTAATATGACACAATCAGCCAATGAAAACTTGAGGTCATACAAAGGATCTTTTAGTCCTATGGGTGTCCAGGGGTCAATCCTCTTTTGATGCAAGACCTCTGAAATCTTAATAAAATGAAGCTGTAGGGGGAATTCTGCGAATTCTTCTCCCTCTGCTTCTTCAAAGTCACTGATGAATTTGTTCTTTAGAAACTGTAAATGATCAGCAGCCATTTCAAATGTAGTTCCAGTAACAAATTCCTTTTCCCGACCTTCTTCCCTTTATGGAAAATCTTTCTATTAACAGTAGCTGCAATTAGTCTCAAGTCAAGCAATAGAAGACAAAAACAAACCAAACAGAGAAATGGAAAGGATCAAAGAAAATACCTTTGAAAGACTGAGTAGTTTCCTGAAAGATTCAAAGAACTTTTCTATGAAATATTGAATAGTTTCCTGATAGATCTCTTGTGCAAATTGTCCAAGTCTCAAGCTGACTTTGGGTCTTAACAAAGAATTTAGGTCCACCATATTTAGGACAACACTAGAAAATAGGTATGGTATGGAGTTCATTTTTTGTCGTTCTGAACTATTATGTCATTAATCATCTCAATCAATTACAGTCGGTCAATTTAGTAAAGTGGAGATTTAAAGTCTCACGTGATTGAGATATGCCTTCTCTGAAATGGCAAAGGTGGGATCTTGAACTCACCTTTAAGATTAAGTTGACTAATTTTGATTGGTCGATATCACTGATGATGTTGAGATCATTAAATATGAGTAATGATATTAAAAATAAAAAATTCATACAGAAATCCTTTTCGCTCTAAATAAAACACCATAAAAATGATTTTGTTTATAAAAATAACTTTGCCATATCATTTTTATAGTATTTTATACAAATAGATTTTTTTTCATTAAGCACCTTCTCATTTATGTGACATTGACAAAATAATCATGTATTATGTCGAATGATATGAGAGAAAAAATATTAATTTTTAAAATTTGAAAAATATTATTCATAAAGAATCTTTATACAATTTGTAGCAGTGGTATTTTTGAAATTAAATGTCATTTTTTTTTTATGGGTGCTCTTGTGTTAAAATAATAAGTCTAATGCAGTCGCATCTTTTTAAATTTTTTTTACTTTTCACTTATACCTTATGCATTTGGAATATTTCAGATTTGTTCGGGATTTGAGATGGCGAACCAGTGTTCAAATAATACCAGTTACTTGTGAGAGCTCAAATAATTTCCAAATCACCATAGAAGCCCTAGAAGAAGCATACAACAAAGCAATAGAGGCCAACATTAGAGTGAAAGGCTTGATCATAACCAACCCATCAAACCCATTAGGTACCATTTTTGACAAAGCCACTCTCAAAAGCTTGGTGAATTTCATCAATAAAAGAAACATCCACCTTGTATGCGACGAAATCTACGCTGCTACCATTTTCAAGCCTCTCCATTTCACTAGCATTTTTGAGTTCATTCTAGACATGGATAGTAACGATGATATCATTCACATCGTTTACAGTTTGTCGAAAGACATGGGTTTTCCTAGCTTTAGGGTTGGTATTGTTTACTCGTACAATGATGAAGTTGTGAGTTGTGCTCAAAAGGTGTCGAGTTTTGGATTAGTGACTTCCCAAACTCAATACTTACTCGCTTCAATGCTCTCTGACAATGATTTTGTGGGGAGGTTTCTTGATGAGAGCTCGAGGAGGCTAGAGTGCAGGCACAAAATTTTCACAGAAGGATTGAAAGAGGTAAAATGTTAGCATATCTTGTATGGCCGTTAGTTTAATTGCTTGTGAAATTAGCAATAATTCTATTAAAATTGCAAATTTTTAAAAAGCATTTTCGACAATGAAATTTACAAAAAAAAAAAAAAAAATATCGATTGCATAGCTAAATGGCAAATAAATTGCAACGTTTATTTGAAAGTATTAATAACAAATTTAAAAAATGAGGGTAATTTTAAAAGTTCACATATCTACATGTTTTTTTTTTTTTTTTTTTGGTTTTGTGATTTGAGATGTTCAAATTATTATATTTTTATTGATAAAGTGCGATTTTTTTTTAAAAAAAATAATTTGTAAAATTTAAGATTTTGAATGTTTATCATAATAAAAATGTCTGGAAATGCCACTGTAGATGAAGATCGATTGTTTGAATAGCAATGCCGGACTTTTTTGCTGGATGGATTTGCGCCCGTTGCTCAAAGAACCAACTATTGAAGCTGAAATGGTGCCATGGCATGTGATAATCAACGATGTGAAACTCAATGTCTCTCAAAGATCATCTTTTCACTGCACGGAGGTTGGTTGGTTTAGGGTTTGCTTTGCTAACATGGATGATGATACGGTCAAAATTGAATTGCAGAGAATTTGAAAATTTGTGACTAAGAAGAAGGAAGGAGAGGTGGTTGCAGTGAAGAACAAGAGGTAGCAAATGAATCTTCGACTGAGTTTCTCGCCTCGGATACACGACGACGGTCTCAGGTCGCTGCATATGTTGTCTCCTCACTCGCCTCTAGTTCAAGCCAGGAATTAATCGGTTTAGAGGACTATTATGTATCATTAGTATATAAAAAATTTATAATGTCAAAAAAAGTAAATTAAAATTTTTTCAAAAAATAAAACATACGATGTGAGTCACAATTAAAATGAATCACGTCTACACGCTTTATTTTTTTATTAATTTTTTAATAACTTTTTTTTGACTATGTAATATTATTGTTAGAATATTTCACCAGAATTTCACCTTCAACGTGACTTTCAAAAAGTGAAATATATGAGGTGATAGATATATCATTTGTCATTTATGCACCATTAATTTGTACTAAGAAGACAGGTAGATTTATTCTTTCCATTGGAAATAATTACTACCAATAATTTAGGCAAGAGAATGTTTTAACAATATGTAATTTATTTGTGTGTAATGTATAAAATATTGTTTGAAGTTCCAATTCCATTAAATAATATTGATGTTATATAGCAAATCTCTTCTTATTCTCGCTCTCTCCTTTAAATGTCTCTTGAATTTATCTTGATATTGATGTTGAATGAATGAATTGAAAAGTAATATCCAAATATCATGATCAATTGTTTCATCTTACTAAAATTGCTGAATTACTTTAAATAATCATATGGAAACTCATGCTTTTAATTCTTTGAAGCACCTTGCTTTTCTCAATCAAAATTTCGTCTCCAATTTTATTTTTTAATCCAAATTTTTAGTGATATTTTTTAATAATGTCACAAATTATTTCAATACTAAAAGCTGACACAAGGATGGTGGACACTGCCAAGATTATCTTTGGACGAGTTTTTCTGACTCTAATCGTGTGACAAAGAGAGAGTTTGAATTAGAGAAAAAGAAGAGAAATGAGATAGAAGATCCAGTCTCATGTAAAACTGGAGGGCACTAGTATTGTTCCCATGGGCTAGATTGTAGTTTTGGTTAGATATTTCTTCTAGAAGGTCCAGCCCAGCCCATTGGTGGGCTCAAAATTCAACTTGGGCTTCGTCTTTTATTCAACAAGAGTGATAATAATTGTATTATAATTTCATATCATGTCAAAATATTTAGACACTTCCAATTCAAAACTAATTGACAATAAATGAAAAGGACTCCTAAAGTGTGTGAAAGTATGAGAACAAAAACATATAATCTGATTGGTTTGCAACTACGAGTCCCATAATCAAAAAGTGTACCAATCCCAATTAAAATTATACACTGACATTCTATAGATTTTTATAACACTGTTAAATTCTCCTATTAAATCCATCATTTACACTAAACCGACAAAACTAAACAATAGTATGCAATCAATTTCGATTCCTCAACTAACAAAATGAAGGATTCAATTCGGTGCAAAATTTTCTCTCAACGCCAATCAAAGCAAACCGTTTACACTCCTGCTCAGTATACATGGCTTTGCAATTGACACTTGAGATTGTGGATCAAGAAGAACATACTATCTTATTTTCACATTTCAAACTTGAAAAACAGATAACAAAGAGGAACTAATACCCGTGCACTCGGATTCACTTCAAAAAATCTAGGGAGATGATTTAGTTCTGTCTTCTTCTTCTTAAATCCATGGGTTGCTCTTCACCAGATTCTTTTTCTGTAGGCTCTTCTTTCTTCTTCGATTCTTGTTTGTGAAAAAATCCGGAAATTCCCTAAATGTTGATTTGTGATTATGTATCAATTTTAAGCAGTATATAACAATCCCAATCAAACAATCAAGACAAATCGACACAACGATTTTACGTGGAAAAACCACAATTGGACACCTCCAATTGTGATAAAAAAAACCACGGGCAACAGCCACAAAACAATCCACTAAGAAGATATAAAGGAATTAGACAGGTATGCTCTCAATTACCTAACGCATCCACGCCCGAATTGAACCAACCCCTATGTGTCTCTTCCAACCCCGTCTTTACCTCAGAATTGTCTTGACGATGAGCCACTTTAGAATCCACCAAAGCTTCAGGCTCGAATTCTTTAGAATCCACCGAAGAACAACTCTATCTTTCATATAGAATGAACAAACAATCCTTTGATGTATGCTTCTTAAACCATGAGTTGAATCCTCAATCAAAACATCAAAGAAAACTAGCAAAATATCCCTAGAGATAAACCTTAATATCCAAAAAGAAGATCTGGAGAAGTAATCCTAAAATCTGACTGAATCACCTACTTATAGAAATCTGAATCGCGATGCTCGCTCGAGCGACGACTCTCTCGCTCGAGCGAGGAACCAAAAACACGTGTTTTCCATAAGTGGCTTCGCTCGAGCCACGCACCCTTCGCTCGAGCGAACAAACACCTCTTTCAGGTCTTTACGCAGACGCAATCCTTCGCTCGAGCGAGCAAGGGCAGACAAGCAACTTTGAATGCAATTTTGCATTTTGCTTCGAGGGCGCTGCCCCTTGACCCTGCCATGGCACTGCCCCCTGGACCCTCGCGAGCTGACCGGACAGCTCGATCCGCGTCATAATCAGCAAAGTGGCAATCTTGAAAGTATTATCATCACAAACTTCTCTACAAGGCACAATTCGGGTTGGATTCGAATCTAAAACTCATATCCTCACTGAAATACAAGAGCAAATAAAATTACAACTGAAATGAGTTTTGTTCAAACGGGATTACCAAGAATAAAAACCTAACAATCTCCCCCTTTAGCAATGCCGTGACAAAACACACCTAACAAATAAAATCCCAAACACCCCAACCCATTCCAGCCAACAAAAACAAACTTTTTTCTGACGGGCAAGATCTGCAAAACAACTATTAATGCCACAATCTCCAAAACAACTATTAGTCCCACATGAGTATATGAAAAAAACAATAAACATATGACAAGATTATCTAGAAGCATGAGATGGAAAACATGAATAGATGCAACTTGGAGATTTTAAGAACATGTAGCATGAAAACCTGAAACTAAGACACATGCCTAAGACACATCCACCGAACAACATTACTCCCCATTTTTGGCACGAATTGACAAAGGAAGCTCAAACAATAAAGAAGCCAATGCAAAGCAACATGCAAACCAACTAATGCCAATCTCCCGTACCAAACAAAACAAAGTGTTCATGCTAACAAACTCTTGCAATGATAAACCAAACTCCCCCTTACTAAAGTTATCACAAGCACTGAAAATAGTGAACAGGAAGAAAACGACAAAAAGAATATGGTGGAGCAAGTAAGGAATTTTTGATATGTACCTTGAAACACACAAGATTATCCAAGAAGCACAATTACAAGAAAACACAATGTGCACAGCCAGTAGAAGATTCCTCATAAAAGAAGGTGATGCAATATATGAAAAGCATAGATCCCATGATAAAAGTGTGTGTGTGACTCTTGGAGTTCGACAAACACTAGATTCAATCCTAGTAGTGATCTGAAAGTTGGACCTCCGACAAGAGAATCTAAGCACAACAAAGGAAAGTCAAACCACTAGGAATCAAGGGGGTATTTGGTGAGTAAAGGCAGATGCTCCCGCTCAATCAATGAATCCTTTATTTTATTTTATTTTTTTCACATCTTTTTCTTTTCTTTCTTTTGCACATTTTTTTTTTCTTTTGCACATTTTTTCTTTCTTTTACACACTTTTTTCTTTCTTTTGCACACTCATTGGCGGCTGACAAGCTCAAGAGTATGGAAACCGAACCAAGGAAACATGGATATAATAAGGACGGCCTGGTTGGTGACTCTGAGGTAGCCTTTTTCTCATGGCTAGACTGCAAAAAATTGAGGGGAAAGCCGTGGAGGTGCAAAAATATGGAAGGAGGTTAAGAGACTCAACATCACCTATGGTATGCTAGTATAGGTCAATTCCTCTAGAAAAGCAAAAGATACAATGCCAGAAGTCCATAGAAAAAAAATAATCACTAAGGTGGAAGACTCCGATATTTGCTAATCCAAGAATGTGTACAGAATGAGACATACTAATCAAAAAATACACACTCCAAAATGAGTAATGAACACAGAAAGCATACACATATTAACATGTAATGGATATTCTAATTAGTTCCAGTATGCACCAAGGACCACTCAAAAATTTCAAACTTGCAAAACCATACCAAGAAAATCTTTTTCTTTTTTTTTATTATTATTTTTTTCTTTTTCTAAACAAGGCAAGACATAAAACGAACATGCACACATTTTTTTCTCATTAAAAAAAACGCATAGAAACCTAAAAACTAAAACAAATAAACAAATTAACACAAGTCAAGTTTTCTCACCCAAACCGCTTTAGTATGAATAAAGTTGTAAGAATTGCGGTTCTTGGGTGGTGTCTTGAGGTTGTGGTTCCTACCCCCTGCAATGGGAACCCGTCTCGACTTGGTTTCCAATTTTCTATTTTTAGGTCTAGGCAAATACACTCTCCCATGCAACTTATAACAATAAGGGCGAATATGACCATGCATACCACAATGATGACAAATAAAAACAGGGTGTACAGGGTGTACCTTCTTTTCTTTTACCTTACCAACTCTAGAAAGTTTGAGAAGTCCATCCTTATGTTGAATTTTTTGTTCTCCCTTTCCTTGAGTTCTTGTATCATGAGATGTAGATGCACTCTGTTTTTGCTCTTTGTTATCACCAAAGCCAATGCCACTCTTGTCACAACACATTTGTTGAGACCCAATGATATCTTCCAAAGTCTTTGATCCTTTGTTCCAAAGACAAATGGTAACCATGGCACACTTGAGGTCTTCCTTTCTCTTGATCATTAGTTCTTCCAAAGCAACTTGAGACATCTCAAGAGTTTCAATATTTCATGCCATTTTCAAGGGCCTTAGTGCCATATGTTACAAGGGCTTTAATGCCAATATGTTTACAAGGGCTTCATGCCATTTTCAAGG